GGGCGGGGGGGCAGAAATACACCCAGAAAGCATTTAAAAGTATCAAGTCATTCACCATGAAGTAACCTGCGTTCATACTTCGTTCCCTCTCTCCCATGTCCGGGTTGCTTTTCAGCGGGATTATACAATTCGGAGATCCTCGTTCATTGCCTGCTTCCAGGCTAGACTGTGCATCCTCCCGCAGGACGGGAATAAGGTAGTACACGGGTTGAAAATAGACGTCACAAGTTTTGCTACTGGTCATGAAACATGGATTCTCCACTGTCAACCATCTTGTCGTGGGTGGTATGCGCATCGAAAACGGTGCCATAAATTTCCCCGCCAAATACCGCCCCCCCGGCCCCAATTCTTATTATCCGGCCCGGGGGGGTGCCCGCGAAGCATTCGGAATTTCAATCTCGAGTCCTTTTTGCAGTCAATTGCAAAAGAAACGCCCCTTTCATGCCTTGGATAGCTTACACACTATTTATTTTACTATTTATCTACACCCCTCGTTCATATTTTTGTGGACTCAAGACGGTGTTGTCAATATCGAAAATGTGCGGGTTTTAGATATCATTAACTCCCCCGTTCCCAACGGCAATAAATAGATGATGGCATCGTGCCTTACAAATTAATGTATTTCGGTCTGGCTTAACACTATGTTTATGTCCCACACTTTTAATAGATGCCACACGGTTCCTAGTGGACGCTCTGTCCTCGGCGCCTTCGCGATGACCCTCAATTTTACTGACCAAGCCATCAGGAATACCGGTACCCAATCCGGAGCCCCGATGCATGACTCCACCACCACCCATTCTTTCTTGCGGCTTGACCAGCACTTGAGCGGTCATTTGTATGCCTTTTTGCTGGTGAGAGACTTGTTGTCCTTTTCGAACACATCCAAGGACGTGCTTTTGTATGTGTTGACTTCACAGTATTGGTTCACTTTGTGCGCGAGGAGGTGGCCAGCGCTGCTGCTATCGCCTGCCAGTGTGAGCGCCTTCTCTCCTGCCTATGGCTCGAGGCTTTATCCCCTCAAAAGAAGTGTAGTGAGAAACGAACCGACCGAGGAATATGTTTCCTGTCTACCGTCCTCGCGTGCATACAAAAATGCGATGGAAAGAAATTGCTTCCGCTCCATTTTTTTGCAGCATGCCGAGGCAGAGCTGAACTGGCGGCGGGGCCGACCCACGACGGTAATACAAGAACGCCTTGAAATGCCAAAAGAAGTGTCTTCCTCGCCTGTGAAAGCGCTCGCACTTGTCAGAGTTGGTACCCGTGAGGTGATGCTGGCTGCAAAACGTTACCATGTGGGCGCATATCGTGTGGGTGACTCCGGGCATCTGCCCTTGTCGAAAGGGCCCGAGCTTTTGCTCCGAGCCAAGAGTGGAAATTCCATGATCTACACCATGGTTGTGGCTTCTGGTGACCCAGCCAAGCTCTTGGTTGCCGGGAATGACACAGGGGTGGAAGTCTTGGATTGGACGGTGGGGCGCAAACTAGCGAGTCTGCACCATCACGCCTCCAGCGTCTGGTGCCTGGGCGTGGACACAGACAGCCACCCAGACGCAGCCGAGGCCTGCGGCCAGGCGGGCGGCACCTTGATGGTCGCGTCCGGAGGCTACTGTAGCCTGGCCCTCTCGGATGTGGACAGGCAGGCGGAGGCCGCCATCGCCTTCCATGGGCATCAGTCGTGGATCCGAGGCGTGCACTTGGACATGGGCCGACACCTTTTGATCACCGGCTCGGCGGACGCCACCTGCAAGGCCTGGGACCTTCGCCGGCCTGGGCGTGTGCTCACAAAATTCGTGCACCCGAATCATTTCGAGGAAGTCAGGTGTCTGGAGTGTGCGGGGCCCCGGCTGGTCACCGGGTGCTACGACGGGGTCGTGCGGGAGTACGACTTGGGCACCGGACGCTATGTGAGCACGCTGGCCAAGCACGAGTACGCGGTGGAGACCATGCAATTGTCGCGGGAGACGGGCCGTCTCGTCAGCGTGGATTGGGACGGGCAGGTCGCCTACAACAGGGGGATGGCCTACCTGTCGCGTACCTTCGGGGCTCAGTCTGTCGACACGCTCGCCCTCGTGCATGATGTCGGGGAAATGCAGGATATTAGTAGAGACGCGTTTGGGCGTGCATCGGGCGGCAGCAACCATTTTGTTCGGCCCCGCTATGAAGACAAGCACCATGGCAAGATCATCGGCTGCGATCTCCAGGCGTCCGCGCTCTTCCACAGCGAGGACGGGATCTCCCACACCCGGACCTCCGTGGCGTGCATGCAGCATGATGAGGAGCGCCTTGTTCTGGGGACAACGGGTGGTAACGTTGTCTCCCTGCTATTCAGGAAAAGCTTGAATAAATGACGAGCACAGTGAGGCCGATAACGTGGGAGCGTCGCAGAAATCTAGTCCAGCCTCCTTTATCCATTTGTTTTACCAAATTTAAGAAATTTAAAGAAAATATTACCCCAAGACGACATGCACATCTGATAGACACTGGACACCCAAGGGGTTGAAATGAAATTCCGGAAAAGAAACGTAAACTGATGGCTCCTTGAGACAGTTTTTCATCCCGTCATTTTTACTTTACCCAAGCCCCTTAGCAACTATCGAGCCTTCCATAGGCCACCGTATCGATAGTGTGGGTGCGCAGCATCACCGTCTACGACTCCCCCGCTAACTTCCCTCCAACATTTTCCGCACACCATCTTCCATTCCAGTGAAGAATCAACCTGACAACGGATCAGCAGGTCTTGGTCCCGGTTGCAGATGACACAAGGCTTGAGAGATAATTTATTACTTTCACGTTTTTCACGCTTGGCAGCCTTGGCCGCTTTTTTTCGCATCTTCTTCATTTCCTTTTCTGGCACAACAGGCGGCGGTAGGGCTCCTTTCTCTTCAGCAGGCTTGTGTTGATCTTCCATGCCATGAGCACTTGTAGTGATTGATGATGCAGGTAAATGTTCTGCGGAAGAAAAACTCGCTCTTCTTCGCCCATCATCATTGGTACCGCTTGAGCCACCTTCCGTAGACATGACCAGACCCTCCAAGCAGCTGGGTCGTGTGACGTAACCAAGAGCGCCCGTGGGAAAAATTCTTGATGGAGACGAGCCTGAGCGAAGCTCGACCGAAAGTGCAACGTTCAAGGCAGCGTTTGTCCACGCTAAAACTCGCATACGGTCTGAAGGGTGGCACAGGATGTAGTTGAGGTTTCAAAGCAAAGTTGCTGCTCGACATGAGGGTTGAGGAACACATGTACAAAGCGGTCGGGTGGCCCCTAAGAGCAAAGTTAGCAGCGAGCTCTACGAGGGTGAGGGAACGACCTCGGGGAAGTAATGTGACAATTCCGGGTGAGCTCACATTATAAGCTCAGAGACACAAAGACAAGAGCTGTACAGAATGTCTCTAGGTTCATGATTCCTTCGTGCGTGCGCGTGTTTTACAAGCAGATCCGGGTCACACAGACCCGTTGGTAGGAGTCCCACTCTCTTCTGCCAATCCGTCCCATAGATATGGCAATAACCATATGGACTGACAGTACCCACATTGGAAAGGAAGGCTCAGAGAAATACCAAATAGGTAAAGCTATGACAACACCTTCTTCCCCGAGGGAAAGACTATACTCCCCTTGCGCGCATCCCGCCGGGTGGTATTGCGGCTCGGCTCGGCCGGACCGCGACCCAAATGCGCTATTCCTTTCCACATGTCGAGAAACATCCATCACTCACTTGTGGCGCGACCTGACATTTTTAACACACATTTGGGCAGCCGCGTCGCAACGTATGCATGAGCGTTTTGGATGCTTTTGAGTTCATAATTTTTCCGAAATGAATTCAAGGACGCGGCCGTACGACTCAATCACACGGCAAACAGGGATCGATCTTTTTGATTGTCTGGTTGAGCTCATGAGTTTTCTAAAATGCCGTCAAGGACGCGGCCGTACGACTCAATCACATGGCAAAGAGGGACTATTCATTTTGATTGTCTGTTTGAGCTCATGATTTTTATACAATGCAATCAAGGACGCGGCCATATGGTTCAATTACATGGCAAAGAGGGACTATTCATCTTGATTGTCTGTTTTAGCTCATGATTGTAAATGTAATCTAAACTAATCAATGCAAGGCCAATTCAGATCCAAGTTAGTCGATCTGGTTAAGCAAGCATAACAAATTCCTTTCCCTTCGTCGTCTTCCAAGTTCAAGTGGTGAAAGCCCCCCTGTCCACATGCCCCCAAAAGGTGATGGTGACCCAGATAGTACGCGTAGGTCAAGTAAACAGCGCAACGATTTTTTTTCTTTCGTGTTTTTTTTAAGATTGCGTGGAGCTATAGCTTGTGGGGACCACCAGATACCTTCCCATCTTGTAAAGGACCTTCCTTATCCAGCGGGATGCGTCGCAGGGACTTGGCTTTATCCTCTACGATGGGCAAGACAAATGCTGTACTACACACCTACTCCCTGTCGATTACATCCCAGGTACACTCTTCCTCCGCTATGAAGGTGTGACAAGCCAGGACGTCACGTGGCAACTGCCAACCTTGGCCATCTCGCTCCTGGGGAGCTTTCACAAGGGTGAAGTGGCGCATCAACAACTTTTTGCGCGGCTCACCTTGGTCAATTCCGCGCCTTCTGTCGTTGGAATCTTCTCGAGCCTGCCAAAATAACAATTCGCTTTTCGATCACGGCGTGCCTTTTGTAGACGTGGCTTAGACGATAAAATCCCACCACAGCTGATCTTTTTCCCCGTAAGTGGGAGCACAACGCAAGGTGGTTCCTGTACCCATGTTTCCCACATACTTGCCAAACTTGAGCTCACTGTAGCGATTAACCTTCTTCAAACCCGCTTCCTTCCCGAATAATTTTCTTCTTGCTCCTCTTCGTCCCCATTCTCTCGTTCATCCTCTTCTACGTCGTGATCATTGTTATCATTACTGTTGACTTTGTTGCCACGTCCTGCATCTGTGACGCAATCTGCTTCCTTCGCCTCGCCCCAAGCGCGTGTTCGGGAACTGCTGCGGCGTGATCTGACAGACATGTCCTCCGTTTCACGCCTCATTTTGACAGGTCTGCCGACGTGCATAGCGTTGGTGTGACGCGCCAAAAGGCTATAGGGATTATCAATATGACGCGTGTGATATGGACATGGTTTATCAAAACGGAGCGGGTCCTTGTAGCCACACAGAATTTGCTTTCCCCCAAAGCCTTTCATGCGAGTTAAATCCGATTTCCCACCACTGAATCTTGCTCGCTCTCAGGCTGAGTAGGGAATGGTCCCTGTACCAGTAATAAGAGAAAGAGGAATCGTTAGTCTCGTGGTGCGCGGAAGCATTTTCCTATGGTCCCGGAATCCCGAAGTGCCTTCCTGGTGATTCCTTCGGTATAGTCACGTAGCGCGCATGCAGTGGCCTACAAGCCAAGAGGTAGCACCTGTCGAGGAACACCGACACGGTGTTGGGGTCCCAACACCCAACTGGGACTGCAAGTCGCCTTCGACTTGAACTTGAAGGTTTATTCGCCGCTTTGTAGTTGGGACTCAACCACCGCCTTTTTGTGCCATCGGGGACCACCATTGCCACACAGGGTGGTTTATCAATCTGGTTAAATGTTTGCTTTTTCCCAAGTCTATCAAGAAACATCAATCTCTCTCTTTTTGCCCGGCAGCATAATTTTTCAGCACTGGCAGGGACCGATCGTGACTCACGGGGCCGTTACCTTCGGAGTAACGGTTGCCCAAACCTCCTCCCCGAACCTTCCTTCCCACTTCCTCGTCCCTGTAGCAAACACTCAATGATAGTACCTACTTTTGGTGTGCTTTTCCAATTATACTCCTGTTCCTATTCTCTGCAGCTGCCTCTCAGTACCTGCCTTTCGTGCGCTTTGCCAATTTTACTACCGCTACTAGTCTCTGTACCTGTCACTCAGTCCCTACTATGCGTGCGCTTTTCCAATTTCAGTGCAGCTACCGTTCCCTGTAGCTACCATTGGTATTCAGTTCTAGTACTTTTAGTAGTACATGCTACGTATTCCGAGTACTACTAGTACGACTCGTACTACTCGTGCGCTTTTCCAATGCTAGCTAGCAATAGTACCGCAAGCCTTCCCTCTACTGTATTATTCGTGCGCTTTTCAAAGTTGTCAATCATTGTAGCATCTACAGCGCAAGCATTTGTTTTTCATTGAGACCAGACACGTCACACGGCAAACATAATAGCATTAACAGAACATACATCCTCTTAAGATTATGTTTCTTCCGTCCGGCACTGCCAAGATCCAGCAATCGCGACTCCGCCTTTTTGTAAGAGAGACGTGCAAAAAACATCAATGGCTGCGGCCCCCTCCGCCTTCATACAAAAGCACTTGTTGTTTATTTTCTGACTGTGTGTAAGCTAGAGAAGACATCTGACGAGAAGAAAGAAGCATTATTGGAGGACTACTGGGGGGCCATCAAGTGTGAAGTGCGCACTTTCCGGAACCATGTAGGTTGGTATTTTTATAGATGAGGAGGAGACTGAAATGGCTGAAAGGGACAGAAAGAGAAAAATGATGAGAATGGGGAGAGAGGAGAGGTAAAGAAAACGCAGGACGTGGTATATGTGTTTGTTTGTGTCTCTATACATGTAAAGCCCTGTAGGGAAGGGGGAGGGAGGAAGCCCAATCCTGTCAGCCCCTTTCTTTCATACCTCTGCATGGCTCTACATTACGCATGCAAATGTGTCGATCTGCATGCGACAAGCCAAAAATTTGACAAGAAGACCCGAGCGATAAATGACACACAGAGCGATAAACCAGTGAGACAAAAAAAGAAAACGTCGTGAACGATGGATCGACACATCGACCGGAAAATGTGACCAAGCGATGACTCCAGGAATCGATGTTTGCTTGGCTATGACCTGTATTCTAATCGATTTATACATTGATCTTGAGCATTCAAGCTTAGATGTGATCGGTGCTTTTGATTGCCCCGAAGTACGATCTGTTGAATTTTTGTTGAGCTCATTTTCATTGGCCATGATCGTCCGATCATAATCTCAGCCCTTGCACTGCTGAGCTCATTTTCCATGGCTGTAGCGATTATTTTGATAGAGCGGAGGCCTGGGTTCCGATTTTTTTTTCCCGTTTTAAAAGAGGCTTATATACGGTCAATTTGAGCAGTCAATATCACCCCTTTTTCAAGGCTCAATCAGCCGTTGCGACGCGGGAGGTCAAAAAAGATTATGTCAACTTATTTCATACCGCCTACAGACGTGTGTTTGCAGTTTCGGAGCATACAGGACAGGTGCAGAGAGGCCTCAACGTCGTACTCAAACCGATCACAGGCTTGACTCAAGCCTGGTCGACTTCTCGATCCGTCGCTTCCATCATTTCCCTCTCAGCTGACGCACCTGCCAGTGCCGCCAGACTGCTGTACGCCCCGCCTCGCCTCGACCCTGATGAAAGCTCAGAAGAACACAAATAAATTTACTTTTTTTAGAGTTAGATCGGCATGATAATTTATTATGTCGTTTGCATTGAAGAATCGGGACCCAAGATCGAAGGCGCCGAAGGTCTTATTACAAGCACCCCAGCAGCGGCACACGTCTTTCAAGAGTGGGCAGGTGTAAAGGAGTTTCTTGCCACAAAGACCCGCAGTACTTTTTCCATTCGCCCCTTCTCCAACCTCGAAGATGCTCAGATATATGTACGCACTTTGGGATACCAGAAATGCGCCTCGACGGTTGTTGGAGAGGAAAATATCGCCACTGCAACCCTGGCGGCGCCATGTGAGGGTAGCATGAACATGTCTGCCGGTTGGATGCATTCACAGCTCGACAATATGTGCGCTGGAATAAATCTTGATGCATTACAATACAACGCCCTGGAGGAAGTCCTCCTGCGGCGAAGGAACGTCTTTCTGTCGGGGTCTGGCGGCGTAGGAAAAAGCTTCGTGACCAATTTAATCATCAACCTTTTGCGAAGACATCACGGACGTGCCTTTAGTAGAAAGGTGTGTATCACGGCAAGCACAGGAATCGCTAGCACGCACGTGGACGGAACGACTTTGCACGCGGCGACAGGCGTGGGCGTGCCCCGGTGTTGGGATCATTTCGGGCGCATGTTCTACCAGGATAAGGTGGTGGAGAGGCGGTGGAGCAGGCACTACGAGGTGTTGTTCGTGGATGAAATCTCCATGCTGAGTGGAGAGATGCTGGACGCATTAAATCGCATCATCCAAAAGCTGCGTAGGAGCAAGGAGCCTTTTGGAGGGCTGCAGGTAGTATTTGTGGGGGACTTCGCCCAGCTGCCACCGGTCCCTGAGGACCCCAGCTACACCACCAGTGACTTTGTGAGGCGGCAAGACTGGGCCTTCGAAGGCCACGAAGATTTTTGGCACATGCCTGTGATTAGCAGGGGCGCTCTCTTGTGCGATGCAGAGACACAGGGTCCAGGTCTGGAGCGAGGGCGTGTAGCCCCCCGACGGGGAGCCCGGCAAGAAGTGCTTTTCTCCAACCGGGGGCTGGCATTCCAGTCTGACGCATGGTGGGATCTAGACATGCGCGTGATTGAGTTGAAAAAGGTGTTCCGACAGGACGACGCTCGCTTTATCGCTACCTTGAATCGAGTGCGAACCGGGCACACGACAGCCGAGGACTTCGACTGGCTCAATCAGGAGTTCTACCACGCCCCGCTTCGACGGGAGCAGGCCCTCCAAGAAAGCGAACGGAAGTCAAGAGAACGGCCGCAGTTGAAGGACGAAGGAGGGCGCGAAGAGGAGAGCGACCAGAAGAAGAGGAAGCTGGCTTGGAAAACGGAAGGGGAGGACGGGCATGGCGTGTCCGCGAGTGGCGGCGGGCCGGCCTCGACGAGTTTAGGAGAGGCTGCCCAGGCTAGCTTGAGGCAGTTAGGCTCACTGGAAATGACACGGCCCGCTCCAGCCTGCCAAATAGCAGAGGAGCCTCTGCACCTGTACCCCGTAAACGCGCTGGTGGAGCGCCGGAACCGGGTGATGCTGGACAGGTTGCCCACCCGGCTGGAAGAGTACGAGGCTCAGGACTTCGTCTGGCACGAGGACAGCGGGGTCATCCTCCGTCGCCAGGAGACCGCACAAGGTTACGATGGGCGGCAACGGCGGGATCTGGAATTATTGCTGGGAAATCACTTGTACTACAAGACGTGCCTAGCTGCAGAGAGGGTCAAGCTGAAGTTAGGAGCCAAGATCTTGCTATTAAAAAACGTAGATTTATTGGGGCCGCAGAAGCTAGTCAATGGAAGCGTTGGCATGGTGGTGGAGTGGGCACCGGAAGGAAATCCTTTTTTTGACCAGGACACATCGGGCGTCGGGGCGGGAGCTGCCGGAGGGGAATCAGAGGAAAACTTGAGGGAGCCTAGCCCGGCCCCGCACGCTGTCGAGACACGTCCTCCCTCCTCCGAAAATGGGACGGATAATAAAAGGAGCCTTCATTGCTACAAAGAGAGGCTCGTAGAGGCGTGGTACACAGCCAACAAGAGCCGCATTCCGGTGGTTCTCTTTAGCAACGGCCGCAAGAAGGCCATCTTCCCCGAGCTTTTTTCGGAGACAATCGTCGGCGTCGGATGTACGTGCCGCCTGCAGCTCCCTTTGATGATCGGTTTCGCTATTTCTATTCACAAGTCTCAGGGAATGACCCTGCAAGAGGCTTTGGTGGACGTCGAGCGGTGCTTTGACGGAGGCCAAACATATGTGGCGCTCAGTCGGGTTGGACCCCGCGCGGGCCTTCGATTAGCCCAGCGTCTGAGCTACTCCAATGTAAAAGTGAATCCTACTTTCCTCCTCTGGCACAATCTGCACAAAACAATGGTGACGCGTCGCAGGGAAGTTCTGGCGATGCTTGAAGCGGAGGGCGATTCCGGAGCGGTCACGCACGCGGAAGGTTTGGGCCTTAAAGGGCTGCATCAGGAAGCAGTGGCCGTCTTGATGGATTCGACCAAGCGCGCAGAGACGCCAGTCGCCTTGAAGCGGGCGTGGGCATCCTTGAAGAAGACGTTGGACCAGCTAAAGCCTGGGAAGAATCTGCAAAGGCAGGACGTGGACATCCTGCACTGGCAGATGTTGGACTGGTGGAGGCCAGGAAATGCCCGGACTATGGAAGCAATTTATAATGTCAGACACTCCTTATAGATATCCCCATGTATCTATTAAGATGTGCGGTGCGTCCGAAAACACATTAGAATAAAGGTTTCGCATGTAAAAACAAAATTATATTGCGTGGGATTTCCGCGGTTTCTGTAGACAACACGGCGATAAATCCTAATCACGCGCCAACTTTTGCTTATTCTAGTCGAGACCGTAGGTCGTGTTTTTGTGTGTCTTCAATAGACGTTTTAGGATGTACATGAGTCACATTTATGTTATGTATGATGCTTTTCCGCAATAAGAGGCTGCTAGTGCCTTGAATAAGCACGGATAAAACAGAGTAATCAAATGAAACGACCAAATTTCCATTCTAATGCTACAATGTTTCATTTAGGATTTCTGGTCAGTGCCTTGAATAAGTTGGTCATGATAAACTCTACGCTCGCTTTCCAATGGGTCACTGAAACGCACTTATAAACTTGTCCAACTCCTCAGTGTGCCCTCCTACAGCCACACCGGCCTCGACATACTTCGGTCGAACCAGATCCATGATAAGTACTATTCTTGATTCTGTCGGGTGTAGATTAAAGGCCTTGTGTACTTTGGAGTCGTCGAAGACGATGAAGTCCCTCTCACGATGACACCGCACTTCTCCCTCCACCCATGTCCCGCAGGAACCAACACCGTTTGGGCCTAGAGGAGGGGCCACCAAAGTCAAATGCACGCGCAGGACGTGATTGGCCAGATCTTCCCAGCCTGTGTGGGCGGAAAGCCGCGTGTCGGGGCCGAGGCGAGAGAGCAAGGCGGTGCGCAGGGCGGGCCTCAGACTCTGAAGGACCTGCACGATGGCCGGACACCGGGCGCAGGTGCTAGGGATCCATTTGGAGGCGCCCGGGTCCGTCGCGGGGAAGGTGTGCAAGAATGGAACGACGCGCCAGTCGTTCTCCACCCCCCCGTCCCGGAAGTGGTACTCTGGCCACGGGGTCCAGGAGGAGACGCCCGCGGCTTCGGCCCTCAAGATGTCAAAATTCTCGAGCAAAAGGCGGAGAGCAGGGTAGTGCCGGCGCCAGTCATCGTAATAATTAGGGAGGTGCAAGGAACAAGTACTGGGAGTCGGGGGTAGGAGGTAATCCCAGTCCTCGGCGGACAGGACGGGGGCGCCAGAAGCGGGGACCCGGGAGACGGCAGGGCTGTGGGAAGCATGGCTCCCTGAGACGCCCGGGGCATGCAAGTCCAGGTACAATGATGTCTCGAGGAGATGAAGGAGACGCATCCGACTGTCTAGCGTGGGGTTGTTCGACGGGCTTGTGGTTGCCTCAGGTTCAGTGGAGCTCGCAGCTAGGCTGTGGCGCTGTAGCTGGACTAGACCGAATGTGCCGCCATTGCTGTCGGGTGAGTTGCCCACGCTCCCCAAGACACACGGCCCACATTGCCACACTTTGTCCGGTGTCAACTGCCGTAGTGTAACGATTCGCAAGCCTGCATCTTTACGCAAGGGGGAGGAGGAGAAGGAGGGAGCCAGCAAGAGGTTAAAGGTCTCCTCTATGGCGACCAAGACGTCTACAGTCAGGTACCCTGGAATCACGACGCAGAACAAGGACGGCGTCAATTTGTCGGCTGTCAGATAGGACGCGAGCTGAGTGACAGAAGAATGCAGAGCTCCAACCGACGAATCCTTCACTCGAAAGACAACACAATCCAGAGCTCCGGGACGCAGGGGCAGGGTGGCACTATCATTGCAGTATAGCATGGTCTCGCATGATGTCGGTTTTAATAGGCCAGTGCTCCCCATGGTAATTTCACTGGTATAGAGAGGGTGGATATGTATGCCTAGTCGGACACAAGCGGCAACGGCGGCGTTCTTCCGATCGTGGGTGGACCTACAGGTATCCTCGCTGTCCACGACAAAGAGAGTAAAGAGGCTGGATGCGTGCTTCAAAGGTAACCATCCCACACAAGGTCGACAGAGAGAGAGAAATTCCTTGATGTCGGAGACAGGTAGCAAGTGCCACGCCAATTGTGGCATTTGCTTGCTGTTGAAAGGGGAGAGTCAAATGCAAGCCCCTGTGAAGGGAATGCTAGAATTGGAGAAGACAGGGTCAACAAACCACTTTGGGCAATTAAGATGAATCGCATTCCTCGAGGTTTTGAGAGAAGTGCAATTGGGAGCATTTGAACCCCGTTGTGGCCAGGAAAAAGCTCTCATGAAAATTATGAAAGCGTGCTTGCCTGCGGCGGTCTCGGTACCCGCCCCATCGCCCAAAGCGGACAGCGATATCACCTGCCTGATATCACCTGCCCCGTCCCTGTCCTCCTCATCCCGCCCCCCTCGATTGGCGCAAGACCATCCAAAAATTGAGAACACCCTCCTCAGGAAACAGGGAAGTGGCGGATAGCTTGCTTTGATTTGCTGGCTCATAATATACTTTTAACAGGCTCAAAATCTTCAAATAGCAGCAAGAAGCGCATTCTTCATCCTCCGCAAAGCTTTTCCAGCCGGCCTGGGGCGGCCTCATGCGACGCAGCCACGCACCCTCCCTTAAAAAGTTGCCGGACAGCGGTCATCGCTTTGCCAGTTCTAGTGGGGTCGAAAATGCAGGAAACAGAGATGCAGGAGCCCAAAGCGGTCCGAGCGACGGAAAGCATGCTGGCGCAATAACGGGAGAAAGCATAGTGGCAAGGCGCAATGCTGCCGCTGTGGCTTCGGGCAAATGTATTGTCTCACGGGAGCCGCTCACGAATTGGCTCATGGTGCAGCAAGGGCGGCCTGTTACCAGCAAGTTTGTCTCGCCGTGCACTTCGCGCTCGTCCGACAGTGACGAGCTTTTCAAAAAAAAGTCTCTTGGAGTGCGCAAGCCTCATGCACACATGTTCATTAAATCCGACGGGGGTCCCCGGGATGACGAAGTTTCAGCCTGTATTGCAAGATATGACAAATTTGGACGGAAACGAAGCTTTGAGGCTGGGCGAGGCGGAGGAGGACGTGTTGCCGTCAGAAGGGACGGAGGCGAAGGCGCTTGAAGAAGAGCCAATGTGGGAGCCCCTGGTCTTGTGGGAGGGCGAGGTGGAGAACAACGAGGGACAAAAAGTCAAGCACCGCATTCAGGTGGAGGACCGTCTCTGCAAGGTCCTGCGGCCCCACCAACGGGAGGGAGTCCACTTCGTCTTCGAGTGCCTGACCGGGCTACGCGAGGGCTTTGAAGGGCAGGGGTGCATCCTCGCCGACGACATGGGCCTTGGGAAGACCCTCCAGTCCATCGTGGTGCTTCACACCCT